GATCAAACTCCGGACCTTGCGCTTGTGAGGCAGGCGGCGGCACCACTGAGCTAAATCCCTGGCTCCTTCTGCCCTTTTAGAAAAAAATCTAATGAGGTCTCTAGTCTGTGCCCTTAGGAAAGTATCCTAGGTCTGATTCCTGAATGACTCTGGTCTAGCTCCTGCTCTGGAGATTCATCTAACAAAACAGACAGCTGAATCCTGATATTAGAATCCTGTGCACTTGCTATTGTTGGCAGGTTCATGTAAATGAAGAAACAGATGGCGCAGGGACTCCACTGAACTTAAAGAACAGAGACATGACTGTGAGCCTGTTTTTTAAAGGGTGTCCATATGTGTAGTAGAAAACAGTCTAGATTTGCATTAGCTGTAAATTGGTGAGAAGTCTTTAGCACTCACCAGTAAGGGGGGGGTGCTCTCTAGTTTTCTCGAAGAACCTATCAGTTGCTTATAACCTAAACTGTTAAGTGTGTTCCCAGAAGCTTACTATGAGGAAATCATCTTTGTCTCCATTGATTCAGGAGTCATTATTCCAAGGACACATGAGCTCTAAAACAGAGCATCCTCCTTGCACCAAATGCATACAGCCTCTCTCCTGCCATGACTCTGAGCACAGAGGTGGAAGCTCAGTGAGCAGAAGCGCGGCTGGGAGTTTGGGAAGGTGGCAGAATTGACACATGCAAACTCTGGACAGACTTAAGAAGGTTCAAAGAAGAAAGTGGATGCATAGTACAATGAGGGAGAGTAGTAGCCAGGTATAAAAGAATCTACAAAGCACAGAAAGTGAGCAAATTCAAATAATGTAGTGTTACTTTGTCCTAATACACATGATTATTTTGGCCATGGCAGGCATATAGCATTAAAATATTTTTTCAATATTTAATAATTATTAAATATGGACTTTAAAAAATCTCATACTCATGCTTACAAGCTGTAGAGCTATTTCAGACCTGGAAATCTGAATCGAGGTGCTAATATTTGAGTCAAGAACCTGCAAACACACATACCCAACAGATTGTGACAGGGCAAGGAGGTGATCTTTGATGTAAAACAGACAGAATATGCCACTTTAAGTCCAAAAGATAAGCAAGACAGTTACTTACTGGTTCAGAAACTTCTTGGGGAGGCTCCAGAGTGGATCCATTGAGTTCTTCCCCCAACATCCCAAACCCAGGTTGAAGTGATGCTGTACCAAAAACTTGAACAAGATAGGAATCAAAATCCTCACAAATTTTTTTGGACAACTTTTGCTTCAGGGTGTCTTTAAAAGAGAAATAGAAAGGGAGATAGCAGGAGCAATAAAAGTTACTTAGAGCCTGTTTAAAGAGATGAGCATTCTTAAAACAAGCAACGTCACATTACATAGGATCAATTGCTAACGTGAACTAATTTAGAAAGCAATTTTATACATCTGTAGGAGGTTATCTAAACATAACTATTTGGTAATACACAACGGCACAAAGAGACAAAAGAGTTACTTAAATGTTTGTTTATGCCAAGTGTTGGTTAACTGAGGATTATTCTGTGTAATGGGCTAGCCTCACTCATTGTAAGTTACACAAGCAATTACTTCTGGTTGTAGGACTGCAAAAAGCCATCCAGTCCAAAACATATTTGTTCCTTATAGACTCTAACAGATTACAAACTCCTTCAGATAAAATGATGAAGTTCTTCAATCATTAAAATATACCTATTTCTGAAACATGTAAGGTGTGGGCCATTCTTTCGAACAATGATTAGCCCAGTAAGATTGAATATATCAGATAAACCCACTAGTCACCCAGCAAAGTGCTGAAGAAATGAGGCACAAAATGTTAGAAAGCTCTAAGAAGGGAGGAAAGAGAAAGTGGAATCTTTCTAGCCTGGAAGGCTACCCCTAGGGCTGGTGGTGCTGGCACCTGAAATAAGCAAGGAATGGGGCACTGAGTCATTGCCCATCCCCAAAAGCCCCCACTACCAGGTGGGTGGCAGAGGAAAGACGACAAACTGAAGCCTGAAACCATGTTAGCATAACTTTTACTTACTTCACAAGTTTGCATGAATGGGCCCAGAACGAGTCATCAGTTTCCAAAACATTGGGATATATTTCATTGTAAAGTGATACAGATCCTAAACATAGTTGAATGAGTCAATGTCTTAGGTTGCCTCATTAGTAAATGTTAGTCAATGTGAAAGAGTAAACTTGGCATAGGGAAACCATCAGATTAGCATTAGTGTGATGCATGTCTAAAAGGTTAGTATTGAAGATAAAGTCCTGACATCAGCCAGTTTTCATTAAATCAAAAGCTTTATGGCTTTCCATGGGGTGTGAGTTACAATTTAATATTGTCATGATAAGCATCATTAACCTCCTAATTTCTATTTTTGGTCAGGATAATCTAGTACATGGAAGAACAAAGTGAAGTCCTTTCACCAGGGACAGTCATACCTTGCAGAGTAAAGAAGTCATCAAATTGATACACATGCTCTGGGTCAGTAGCAATTACATTCATTTCTTTGTGGAATATTTCAAAATTGGGGTCAGTTTTCTTCACCACCCCAATCACAAATCTCTCCACATTAGCATCATTGGCATCTTTCACCACTTCGGTTAGTTTCTTTTTATCTCGAGAATCTGTCTGTCCATCTGTAATGACCAAGGCCACCTTCTTTACTCCTGCCCTTGCATCCCTGAACATGTCATTGGCTGCTTGAAGAGCAGTGGCTGTGTAGGTGCCTTCCCCCAGATACTGCATGTGGTCCACAGCCAGCTTGAAGTCATCCTTGCTGGAGAACTGTTTCAAATTAGCCACCATCTCCACCTTATGGCTGTAGTTGATTATGCCTATGCGGGCCGTGGCAAGGTCCAGAGCAACCCGGTCAGCCAGAGTCTTCACAAAATTTTGGATGATCTGGAAGTTCTCTGGCCCCACACTTTCTGAACTGTCAATCACAAACACCAACTCCAGCGGAGTCTCTTTGCATTTGGGCCCACAACCTACAAGATGAATACTGAGATGGAAACACTGCAGGAATGAACAAAAGCCACCCCTGAATCACTGAATAGTGCCGCGTTGGAGAAGAGGGACAGGAAGGCTGAGGGTGAACCTGAATTCCTTTTCTGAGACTGTGGAAACCACCAGAAACTGTCTACTTTCTTGTTTCTATACTTGACTCTTTTTCAAAAAGCACATATTTTTGAAGGAAAAACACATTGCAGCAGATGAAAACAATAAACATCTATGTGTCCATCCCTTAAATTAAAACAAAATAGTTTTTAAAAGTTAGCATGCCCCATGTATAACTTCCTAATAGTACTCCTCTCCCTCTCCCTATGTACTATCCTAAATTTGGTCTTTCTTCTTCCATTTGTGCTTAATCTGAAAGCTGATATTTCAGCCTTCAACCACATCCCTGTTGGAAAACAGAGACTTGATTGCTAGCATGCTCAGTGGATGAAATAATGGATGAAAACTTTTAATTGTAGGGAAGCACTGGGGCCTTAAACTGTACACAAGAATAACTCTACTTAAGTATTCTAGTTGAATCCCATCACCCGCAATGACATGGCAGCTTCCATGTTACAAGAGAGAAGAGGCCAGTAGTCCATCTATACCACAGAACCCTTTGACAGGAGTGATCTGAGAGATACAGTCAATAAACAACTTATACTCAGATCATTATACAATCATTCAATGCAGTTTCCAGAAGCCATAAAAAATAAAAATTATCAAGGTTCAATTTCTTTATTTATATTCTCATGTTGCCCAACAATCCTCTCACAAAAAAGAATCAGGAAACTGCCTGCTATTTTACAGGGCTCCCAAAAACTCAGAAACCACTTCCATCTGGCCCATCACTATAGAGTCTCAGGCGGGTTCTGAGATCCAAAAGTCTTTTAGGGGACAAGCCACTTCTAGGATTCTCTGCATGGAAAGACAATAATATTTCTGCCTCTGTCTAAGCACAGGAGTTTCTCTCATCATTATTCCATTAATCTGTTCCTTTTGCCTAATCTCCCTCTCTTCTTTTTCCCTTCCTGTCCCTGGTAACTATTTATAAATCTTAAATGTTCAGCCAGGAAAGCATTTATATATAGTGGTGAGCCAAGGTGAACACCTGAATGTCTTCCTTCCTTAGCGACTAAAGGCAGGGCTAGAAACTGCTCAAAATTCAAATCAGAAGGGTTCCTTGGCTTTGGAAAAAACACAGACATAATAATGAGCATAATCATCATAATCAGTACAGCTAGACTGGGCTCAGATACCAGTTTCATAGTTTCTTTGTTGAATTTTTCTTTCCAAACTCAAGTAAACAGCACTGACTACAAATGAGTGGTGCTTCCAAAAGACTGCCTTCCACACACACTAGCCTATACCTTCACAGTCCCTAACTACTGTGAGAAGATGAGTCCCTGCTCAGAGCAGGTTTTCCAAGCCCTATCACTGCTTCCCTCTATTTCTCTCTGACTTCAAATGAACTTCACACCTGCCCAGTAGCTATGTAATGTATATCACTTGAGTAAATGCATTATCTTACCACCGTAGCACACAGTAAGGCTGGTACTTTAAAGAGCTGAAATCTTACCACATATTTCAAAAATAAGTTTGATAATTTCTTCTTTCTGGGAAAAAAGGAAAGTATATTAACATTAGATGTATGACTTTAGTATTTTTTTGCTATAATAAAGATGTGCCTTATTATAGTCGGCACTCAATCCTTCCACTGTAGGAAATAAAATGAATAGCACAGAAGTTAAAAGTTGTACATAATATTTCATAACTAAAATAAGGCTGAGTTGTGATTATAGCTCAAGTTTTTAGAGGTCAAATTGTACCTAGAGAGTTCATCGGCTGTGTGACTTTGGCAATTAGATGACTTAATAATACCTGTATCTCAGGGATGTGGTACAGATTAAATAGGGTAAATGCACCAGCCTCCTAGCACAGGGCCTGGGTCCACTAAGAACTACCTATGGGGTATGGTGCAATATGTGTTTTCAGCAATATGATTTATACCACATGTACTGATCAACAAAGAGAAGCACCAGGTCCTAAAGAGAACTCGTTCTATGCTACATTCCCTCCTCTTTTTCTGTACCCATTTCCAATTTTGAAAGTCTACTCATCACTTTCCATCTATTCTGACTTTGGGCCCTCTGTGAAATGTCCTGGTGATGCTGAATACTTCTCTGTCTTGCTACCTCTCAGCTCCGCTTGAAAGGCCTGAGATGGTCTGGGAACTAGAAATGAGGCTGCCAATTGTCCCACCCTGTGTTTACAAGAGACTGAAGTGAGCCTAGAACAGGTAGGATTCTACATTTGCCAAAGACATGAAGCCAAGAGGGATGATTAACAGAAGCTTAGATCTAAATGAAAAGGAGCAGTAGCTCAATCCAAGATAATAGAATTCAACAGATATAAAAGTAGCTTTAAAGAGCACACCTGCAATAACAGGATTGGGGGTTAGAGGACATACAGCTGTTGACATGACTTAAAAAAGCAATATACATGGTAACCATTTAGGTCATTTTAATCTAATTTAATTTTTTAATTATAAATTGAGTAAAAGTCAGTGGTTTGAACTAGATACTGAAAAAGAACTCCAATACAATTCTAAGGTACAGTGATAAAACTGCATAAAACAAAGGAGTCAACAGTCACCTTTTCTTTTAAGGACTTAACATACTTTTCAAGATTTAGAAAGACATTTAACAAATGTAAAACTAGAATGCATACATAAAGGGAAATATATATGTCTATAGTCAGTATATCTAGAAAGAGGCTATGTATTTTATACATTTGTATTTAATTTTTGACATGTGGATAAAATACTCTTCACCAAACTTTATGATTATAGTTTTTCACTTAACATGGTATCACAATTTTTTATATTACTAAGTATTCTGAAAAGCTTGTTCCCTCAAGTCAAATGCATGGTCATTTGGAAGGGTCTTTGAGGAGCGCTGCTAATCCATCCTTCAGAGAAGTTGCAGTAACTACCCTCTCCCCAGCAATACACAAGAAATCTTTATGAAGGAGCTTATAAAGACTGGGGCTGGCTGAATTTAATGCACTTATAGGTCACACACAATTCCGGTTGTTATTATTATAAAGTCATTGCACTCTGATACAGTAAAATATCTGTTTTAAATTGTATTTGTTAGTGAGGTCAAGTTTTATTTCATGTCATGCTTCCAAATTGCATTCTCTCACACACAGTCTCTGTATGTCTTTCATCCCATTTTTCCATTGGGATATTTGTCTTTTACTGACTTACAAAAACAATGTATATATTAAAGTTTGGTTTTCATCCTTTCAATGTAGTTTTATGAAATAATCCGATTTAAAATGCTTTAATTGGTTCCACAGACCCATCTTTTCCTCATATCTTTGCGTTTAAGTGATTAAAATGGTTCATTCTCACTAAATTGCTGAGTAACTATGTTGGTCATTTGGTACCAACAATAAAGCCACAACTTTATACCCATCAAAGGATTCAGAACCCAGTAGGAATCAGAAAAACAAGAAAAAGTCTTTTGCAAATGCTACATAGAACCAAAGAGCTATGTGGGTCAGACAGAAATGCCATGGGTCAGACAGAAATGATACAGGTCAGGAGGAAAGGAATGGCCAGAGGTTCAGGATTCCAGGGAATCCAATGACTCTGACTAGTTTTGGGGGAGCAGGCGAACAGTCTAGGTAGGCAGAACAGCATTCACACAAAGCAAATTACCTTACAGTACTAGAATGAACTTGTGACTCAGGGAATATAGCAGAAAGAATGACAGGAAATGTAGAAGAAAGATGATCTAGAGGGCTTAGTTTTTTTTTGTTGTTGTTGTTGTTGTTGTAAGTGTGAACTTTATCCTGGGCAACGAGATACATGTGATCCCTAAACAAAGAGAAGCTCTGATCTTACTTTTCCTTAAAGAAAATTGTCAATGGAGAGGTTTGAGGCTCCTGAATAGTTCTGGTAAAGAAAAGAAGACCAGGAGGCAGTGGTAGTAGTGCCAATGGGGAGGATTGGCCTGAAGGACACTCCAGACTGAAAGGTGGGTAACTGAAAGAAAGGATAAAGTCAAGAAGTAATTTAATAGAAGGCAAATTATGGAATGAGACAGGTGGTAACGGAAGAGGGATAGGTTGGCAGTTCATAAAGATGATTGGGCCTGGATGAATTTCCTCAGCTAGTTGACTTTTTGCTCAACTTTTCTGTCTGCGGTATCATCCTCACTGGAAGTAGAGGCAATACTATTTACCTTGTGGAACTATTATGTAAATGAAATGTGAGGGCTAAGCAAGCAACCTCATATGTATGTTCCCCATTTGAACAGCCACATCCATCAGCTGGCCCTGTTCTTTTTGCGCTCCCAGACTTTCTGCCCTAGCCTCCCATCATTTGTGTAGTGAAGCTAGCCTTCTCTTCCAAGCCTGTCAAATCGCCTGAAAATATCACCCTTTGGCTACTTCCTGAATGATCTATGAATATAGGACAGTGCTGTGACCTGGGGTCCTTTGGGCTGGGAATTTGGAGGTCTGGTGTAGCCAGAGTATCTCTCATAGATAAGATTTATGAGTAGGGTGGTTACATCCTATGTCCCCAAGATCTCTTCATTGGAGTAAAGAGTTCATCTGGAGAGGGGCTAGTGGTGAGAGTAGGGCCTCTTTCATGGGCCCCTTGGCATCTGTAGTACTCAGAAAGTTTGGTACTGGTGTGGAGGAGTTTACTTCAATGCCTGTTACTTACTAGATTTTAACTTAATTCAAGTTCCCTTTTCCTTCATTTTTCTCATCCTGCTATTTTTTCATAAAGCATTTTCTCATCTGCTTTTTCTAGAATCTATAAAACTAAGGTAAACAAAATGAATCTCCATTTCTAAGGTCTCAACCTTTTAGCTTAAAACCTATTCTCTTGCCTCAAACATTATCAGAAATTACTTTCCCTCTGGATTCCCTCTTCTATCATGATGTTAGGTGAACGTCCCTTGCATTTTACTTTCCATTATGCTGATAGCTCCTTGAGCCCAGGAACATCATCTCTTATTCTCCACTCTTTCCCTGGTGTTTATCTCAGAGGCTGACCTGCTTCACTCCCAACATATGTTGGTAAAATTGAATGAACACGGAATGAACAAGAAAGGAAACCAGTCCTACTCCCCATGTTGAGGCAGTAGGGCTGGTATAAACCTATGAAGGTTATTACTCTGGTCATTTCCATACTCTCCCTTTCTACTCTTTGGGAGTATATA